TCCGGTACGCAGCTGATAGTGCTGCTCGGTGCCTTCCTCTGGGCATACCAAGCCTGCTCTTCGCTTCGGTGACCTCCGGCATCCGCCTGTCAAGCCTAAGCCTCGCCGCCCACGCCCTCAGAGGGATTTGCTGATCCACCAAACGCGCACAGGACAGCCGTTCGCCGTCGCGCTCACTGGCCTCACTGGGGGATCAGTTGCAACCTCATGGTGCCTCAACTACCCTGCATGCCTACACCGATGCTGGTTAACCACAGAGCTCTTTTAGAAATCCGCTGCAGAGCCGGACTCCCTCCTGCCTATCCTGCCAGACTGGGGCTCCCGGTCCCGCGAAACTCCCCTTTCAAGGGCCCCATGTCCTACGCCCAGGCTCTGCCCGCATTGCGCACCAGCATGACTCTCACCAGCACCAACGCCCCTCAAACTGCCGCACCGGCCGAAGCGCCCTCCTTCACTTTGCACAGCCTCAAGGTGGGCCTACTCAGCGCAGCCAAGCAACGACGCCTACCTGAGGACGCCAAACGCACCGCCGGTCGTCACAAAAAGCAGCACAGAGCTCTACGGCCGTGATGACACGGTCGACAACCTTTGGATGCAACCATGCATTGCCCACGAGGTGTCCCACGGTTGGCGCCCCTCCCGAGGGCAGGCCCCTACTCTAGGGCCCCCCTTTTCCACGCCCTTGGAGCCACCGCCCGACAGCCTAGCCTTTGCACATCTCGAGCCTCAAGCAGGGAACTCACACACATGCAATGCGCGCAGGACCGCCAGCCTGCGCAACGCCGATGCAGACTCTAGCCTGGAGTCCGCCTCTTCTGATTCTTCCTCTAGCGAGGACCACAGCCCAACGACATCATTCTTGCTAATGGCCCATGGGGAGCAGTCCACTTTGCACAAGTGGACTCCGCCACTCACTGGCGCACCGCCTGTGAGATACTCAAAGGGGACACGGGCCTGGTCCTGTCCGAGCCAACCCAGGACCGCATGTGCAGGCACAAGGCCTGCCACCTTGCCCTCGAAGCCCTCTCATCGACTCAATAGACTGCCCACAGATCCGCCCACATGGGGAGGGGAAAAGAAGTGCTTGCATAACCTGCCCCCCTAAGCCCTCGCCTCACTCTCTAGCCCCGCCGCCTGCCCCCCCTTGCACGGCTGCGCGCCCAGCCATGGACTTCCCCACTGCCCTCCAAGAGCTCCCGCAGGAGTTCCACCTGCACGCCCTGCCCTGCCCAGCCCTGTCAGACCAAGGCTACCAAACGATCGCCGACTTCGCACGGGCCTTCCCAAGTGTCGACCGCCTATCGGCCTTTACCACAACACTGCCTGCAGGCTCAGCACAGCCCATCCCAGGGGGACCTGGCGCCCACACCGTGCCCTCGACAGGTGCCATAAGAAACCCAAACGGCAGACGCAAGCCCGGCCCAACCGGAAGACAGCCAGCCCTCAGCCTCGGGCATGCCTTCTCAACCTTCCCAATGGATGGAGCGCCTGCCGCCCCGCCTGACACAAGAAGCCGTACAGGATATGGTCGACCAATTCAAGGCCCGTTATCCTGGTGAACTACTCGACCAGGACCCCATGCATGGAACCGCCTACTCAGCCTCGTCCACCATAGCCTCAAACCTTGAAGAAGATCCGTTGGATCCCCTGGCAGTTTCGCCCATCTGCCAAGCAGTGACAAGAATACATGGAGGCGAGAACAGCCAAGCCCATGCACACAGAAGCACAGATCATCGCCTGCGCCTTTTCGACGGGACACCCGAAATACCCGGGGAGCACATCCGCCTTGCTGCTGCATGGCTGGAACGCATCCAAACTGTGCTTTCGGCAGACGCCTCTTGCCCGCCCACGCAGCCCAGGGAGCAGCACCCGCGTTCGCCCATGTCGTGCTTTGAAGACAGACGGGAGTGCATCGTCAGAGATGACCGAAACTCCATCATGATCCACCGCCTGGACTACGAGCTTATCAAGTCCCAGGCAGCCCAAGGGATCATCGGGTCCGAGTTCATGTTGGGCCAAGAGTCCTTCGCTGTCTTCTCAGGCCCATACCCTTTTGACAACCCGCCCAGCCTGCCGGAGTCCGCCGATGACCCAGCGCCCGGCAAACACGCCACTGAGGATGGCCAGGCTGACGCCGACACGGACATACTCTGCCTGCTCTCCAACAAAGTGGACGCGCAGGAGCCTCGCAGACCCGCCCCTCGTGACTCCGCCCACAGGACCTCCTCCTATGCGCCTCTGCCTCAGAATGCCTCCCTGCCCACGCCTATGCATCCCCGAGCTGCACGACAGGAGGTATCACGGTTGCACTGTCGTGCCCAGCATCTGCCTCCCATATACCTTCCGGATTGCCCAGGAAGACACACGCTTCCTCTACACGGATCGCACTCGACGCCTACGAGGTTAGTGGGGTTAGTGCCCGAATTCAGGGCCGCTTCTCTCAAGGCGCAAGCTTCTTGCCCACACTGCCCAGTTTGCCCATGTACCAAAAGAGCCTCTGCCGCCAGGGGTACAGGCACGCCCCCACCCCTTACCTCCCTCTGCCCCCTGACCAGGTGCAGTTCACCTCCGACATGTTCTACGCGGATGAGGCAAAGAAAAGAAGTGTTTGCATTGCCTGCTTACTTTTCTTGCCTACATTTCTGCACGCCTGCAGCCCCAGCATGCAGTGTTGATGCACCTGGACCAACCTCTCGATTGCCTGCACCCTAACATGTCACATGCTCTCTTTGGCTCCACGCCTCTGAGAGCAGCTCGCATCGCGGCCGCCCCAAACCCAACCTCACCACATGTCTCAGCTGCTCCGGCCGCCAAACGATGGCCAGCCAAACCACCACCGCGCTCGGGGCCTACAGGGAACCCCCTGCCTGCAGTCAGGGCTGCGCCTAGAAGCACCCCGCAAGCGAGCACGGCAAAATGGAGGTTGTCGTCGGTGCTCTGGGCGAGCGGAGGGTCCGAAGCTGTGCAGGAGGCGGTGGCGTGTCTGCCGTGGAGAAGGCAAGCCCCAATGACTTTTGCGGGGGCAGAGTGGGCCTTGGCAGGCGAGTTGAACAGTGTGGCTTATCGGGTCCCCGCAGTGCGCCGTGTTCTGGGCTGTGTGCGCACAAGTATACAGTCTTGCGCTTTCGTGCCGAGCTCTGGGCTGGCGGAAACGTGGCCGGGTGTGAGCTCGGTTGGTGTGCTGTCCGCCGCTCCTTGGAAATGGTTGGAGACGCCCGGCAGACCCGGTGCCGACCACGCAGCCCTGCCCGCGGCAGCACAAGCCCGCGCCTGCCCAGCGCATGACTCCTGGTCCTCTTCTTGGACCAGAACACCCCCGGCTGTCTTTGCGCCCACTTAGCCTTCGAGCCCCACAGAGCCTAGCTTTTCGTGGACGATCTGCTTCTAGCACCTCTTACAGCCGCGCCCCAGAACAGCTGTCACTGGTCGTGGCCTGTCTCTTCCTCGTCGGGGCCCCGATCAGCTGGAAGAAATCGCCCTTCGGGTCGCAGATCTTGGTACGGCTGGCAGTTGGCGGGCGCGGCATTTGAAGCGGCTAATCTTGCCACTTCAAATGCCACACTGTTAGAAGGTGTGCCACCTTTACAGCCGCTCCACTTTGCGACAACCTTAGAGGATGTCTCTTAAATCTACAAATTAGCCGCTTCAAACGATACACCTTGAGAGCGATGTTCATAACACAACAAAAACCAAGTGATTTCAAAAATTTTTTCACATCACTAACTGCTTTACAAGAAACAAACAAGCTTGTTTCCAACTGTTTTAGGATTCACAACAAAACAAAACCGTTTAAAGAAATCCAGACAAGACAAACAACACGATAACAGAAACCTGATTAAATTCAAACAAGTTCAATCAACGATCACTTCAAAAAACAAAGTTGCATTTATTTTGTCTTCTAGACACCAGACGTTTTTTTGTTTTTGAAAATGTTCTCCATCTCAATTTGTCCAAAACTTCTTGTTTTTTTGAATTGCATTTGCATTGTCTGACAGAAAAGAGCATCAATCAATTGTGTCCAAATGTTTTTCATCAGAACTTATTTTTTTTTTCAAATTGAAAAATCTGTGTCTGTCCTTCACATTGCCTGAAGGGGGCGGGGCGGAGGCCCAAATCGCCCTCTTTTGGCCAATGTGAGGGAGGGAGGGAAGTGACTCTGAAGAGAAGGGGGGTTGGGCATGCAGAAACTCTGCTCATTTTTTTTTAAACATTTTTTCTAACTGACATGAGAATTCAGATCGCCTGACCTTTTCTCTATTGAAGCGGATTGAGCATTTGGATCATGGCAAGAACTGCAATCAGCGCTCGGTGGGAAGCTGGGGGACAAGTGAACATGGGATCTGCAGGAAGAGACAGACGAGTCCGTTCCGTTCTCAGCCCAAATCTCGGCCGAAAAGTCGTCAGTCCAGGGCTCGGAAAGAAGACTCACCCATTGAAAGTGCAGAACCAAAGGTGAAGCCCAGAAAGCGACCTGCAAGCGCCTTGCAGCAGCATTTTGAAAGTCGTGGATCCAGCTCATCCTTGCCATCAAGACCGTACACGGATCCCGCTCGTCAAGAGAGTCCCGAAAGAAAACGAGGTCGCCAAGCAAATTTGTCCAGATCTTCCTTGTGGACACGCTTTTCACTTGACGGAATTCTTTGTTCGACTCCTGCTGAGCTCTTGGAGATGTGTGTTGACTTGGGCTTGATGCATGATGGTCGACTTGATCCGTGTGAATGGTGCGAAGAGACCAATTGGCGGATTGAAGGAAAGGGAGACCATGCCTCTTACAGGTGCAAGACAAAAAATTGCAGATGCTCAAAGTCTGCATTGACACATGACGCAGATCTCTTCAACAAGAAATTGGCACTTCGATCCTTGGTTGGTGCTCTTTGGCTCTTCTTGCCCCGATCAATGTCAGTCCGGATCAAGCTGGTCTCATTCTGGGGGTCGATCACCGCACTGTCAGAGACTTGTTTGGGAATTTTCGCAAATGGTTGACGCCCATCATTGACCGCATGAATGAAGAGCTTGTGATGGGTGGTGCTGGGATGGACGTGGAGCTAGATGAGATCAGCTTTAGAAGCAAAGGCTTGGACGACAAGGTTGCTGGGTTTCATCGGCCTTGTTTTGTCCGTTTGTTAAAGTGTTTGTATTGCTTGCGATATCTTCAATTTACACTAAGGTTCTATGGCTCCGTTACATTGCGATCGTTCGTAGAGGAAGTGCGAAAGTCTTCATTCACAAGCTCCCGGACAAGTTGACGGCTTCCGGACAAGGTGGAGGAGGCCCTTTGAGCATCCAGGAGCTGAAGGATACGATCGTGAATTCCGCAGGAGCCAGCCGAATCGCCGTTGGCAGTGTCTGTCACACAGACAGTGCAAAGGCGTACAAGAAGCTGGACTCTGAAGAGCCATTGCCATGTTTGTACAATGGAGCCTTGGGAGGACCTTCTTTTGCTCATTTGAAACTGGCGCACAGCAACGTCCGACACAAGCCGCCCCACCCAGAGTTCACTCGAAAGTTCAAGCTCAAGATCTTTGATGGGCGACAATGGGTGGAAGAGATCAGGGTTGGGGGCACCCAAAAGTTGGATGGGTTCTTTGCAACCTTTCGAAGAGAGGTCGGCAAGCGTCCCATCAACACCACGGGCCTTCTCCTGCTACGGCTGAGGCAATGGAGACACAACTTCATGAGCGAGTGCGCACCTTTCAGTTTTTGCATTGGTTTTCCTTTACGGATGCTTTTCAAGTCTTTGCGGAAATGCGCAAGCTTGAGCGTGCTTCCGTTGGCTCCGTAACGTGGGCAAGCTTGGCTAGTTTTGGAAAGGGAAAGGCAAAGCCTTCCACTGCCCCTGAAACGAAATCTGCAGAGGAGGTTCCTGCTGTTTTGGTGCCTCCTGCAGAAGAATCGCCTCAGCCGCTTTCACTTTCCTGTGATGAAGAGCACGAGCCAGTGTATTCGGAAGGCGAGGACGTTCAAAGCGAACTTTTCGATCCCGAAGAAGAAGAAGAGCTTATTTTTGACAACAAAGGGATCAGAGTCTTGAACTAGCTAGCAGAAAGCAGAAGCTGTTAGAAGTTTGCCAGAGTTTTGCGCGTACAAAAAGAGCTGTGCGTTTTTGGAGTCGATTCCGGTGCATGGTGAGGCTGGGGAATCCAAGTCAGGTCGGTTCAGATCAAGGCTTCGTTTTTGACGTGGTTGTTTGGCAGTGTTTGGTCTTGTGTTGCCTTCTGTTTCCGTAGACACAGTTTTGGGTGGCTTGTCAGCTTGATGGGTGGGTTTGCTAGGCCAGGGGACAGCTTCTTTAAGGGTGTAACACATCGAGCGGCGTGGCCTGGAATTGCTGCCTTGGAGCGGCGTGTTGGTGGCCGCATTTCCACTTGCGGACTGTGGGTGCCGGTTTGTTAGGCTGCGTACGCCTCCTTTGAAGACGTGACGCCTCGAGCGGCGGACCGCTCTTGCTGCGAGGCCCCTTAAAAAAGGTCGCGGCGCCTCGAGCGGCGCGGCTGACGCCGCGCCGCCCTGCGGGCGGCGCGGCGTTTTGAGCGGTTAAAGTTAACCGCGCGCGACGCCGCGCCCGGCTTCTGTTTCCACACTAAAATGACCAAGCCTGCCCAGTCCAAACTCCATAGCCTCTACACCTGCTGCAAGACAAGAGGACGCCCCGCAATGACCTGGAATGATTCCGAGGCTTGCTAATGTGGGCCACGAGCACCAGCACGCACCCGCACTGCTTCACGGCCCCCATCTAGCGGACCTGCACGGCCCTTCGGGCACATGCCATTCCATTCCGCCCAGAAGCTGGTCACAATTCCTGTGGTGCCTCGACTCTGCATGTAAGATATGCAGAGACGCCGCCCACTTGCAGCTCTCCATGCCAGAGTCATCGAAGTCCGAAGTAAGCCGGTTCGCGCCAAAGTGGACACTTGGACCACACCGGCTGCTGACAAGACCACATGGGCTTGCACTGCAGTCTCCTCCGCCTTGCAGATTACCTCCGCAATAAAAGCCAAGCTGCGACACACTGGCTGGCCCAATGCTTCTCACACGGACTTAATATGCTCCCTGCCAAACAGCCGCGCGGCAGATGCCATGGCCGACCGTGCAGCAGTACATTGCCTGCTTTTTGAGACCACTGCACGGTGGGCTCTACTTGGCCTACGCAGCAACAGGTTTGCTCTAGACTAGAACTGGAAGTCGGGCACATTCCTGGTGTTAAGACACGAGGTGAACAGGCCTTATTTTTCCCGGTCTGCCCTGGGCCCCACGGGCGGGTGGGCGAAAAAACACGATCCAACAGGTTCCAACTACGGGTTAGGTCAGGGCCAGCTAAGCCAGAGCACTGGGCTGGCATCAACGTGTTGTCATGATTCACGTGTGTCAAAACACCTGGAAAATTGCCCAGTGCGTTCAGACAATGATCTGACCCAAGTTGAACTAGAAGGGAAAGCAACCTCCCAGACCTAGGCACCTGACGGGAAGAGGCCTAGGGGGTGACAACGCCCTTCCCCAGCGACGCTCACTTGTTTTCACGGGGCTGCTCTGGGCGATTTGGCAGCATGGCCTGGGGGGCTCTCTGGGCGAGAGATCCTCCAAGGCATGCAGGCAGGCAGAACCCCCACTTTGCCCAGCTCAAACACATCCTGCGGGCCCAGCCTCCCAAAGTGGAGTAGCCTGTTACAGTAGGCCGCTTATGAACCTTTCCAAAGAGGGGGTTCTGCCTGCCTGCATGCCTTGGGGGATCTTGCCCGGGGGAGGTTTCCTCTCTTCCAGTACATCTAGGGTTAGGTCATGCAGTGCGGGTTGTCTGAACAAGAGGAAAAGAGAAATTTTTTCCAAATCCACCCCCCTTTGTTTCTTGTTGTCATGCGAAGCCTGTAGAAAAGAAGAGAAGAGAATTATTTTACATTCCACCCCCTTTGTTTCTTGTCGTTCTGCAAAGCCTGTAGAAAAGAGAGAAGAGAATTATTTTAAATTCCACCCCTCTTTGTTTCTTGTCGTCATGCGAAGTCTGTAGAAGACGAGAGGAGAAGAGAATTATTCTAAATTCCACCTCTTTGTTACTTGTTGTCCTGCGAAGCCTGTAGAAGAGGAGAGGAAAATTATGATTCTTGTGTTTTGAGGTTAACTCTAACCCTATACGGTTGGGGTGAACCCGAACACCCTAACCCGCAGCGGGGGGGGGCGGGTTAGGGTTGGGGTTAACCCGAACCCTAACGCCAGGTTGGGTGGAGGTCAGGGTTAACCCCAACGTCAGGGTGTTGGGGTCAGCTTAAACCCTCACCCGGAGGGGGGGTTGGGGTTAAACCCCAACCCTAACCCTTGGGTTGACCTTAACCTCGGAGGGGGGGGGCGCGTTAGGGTTGGGGTTAATCCGAACCCGAACGCCAGGTTGAGGCTTCCTGGCGAGGGGTTAGGGTTGGGGTTTACCCGAACCCTAAGCTTGGGTTGAGATCAGGGTTAACCCGAACCCGAACCAGGGGTTGAGGTTGGGGTTAACCCCAACCCTAACCCGGTTGGGTTCAGATTATCTTGACCTGAGACCTGAGGTTCGGCCATCTGTTATCCTAAACCCTGACTCAGGTTACGGTTTGGGTCGAACTCGGACTCCAACCCAGGTTGGGGTTCGGGTTACCCCCCCCCCCGGAAACGGACCCGGGGTTGTAACAAAGTTCAACCCGAACCCTCAACCCAAGCCCGCGGGGTATGCTCGATTGGCTTGTCTGATGATGGTTCCATCATGAAGCTCACCGAAGCATTCTATGGATTGCTCACGGATTTCGCAGAACCCCCTCCACAAACCTAAGGCATGCACGAACTCAACACGTCTGCCGGTACATGCGGAGGGTCAGATTTTAGCGCGTTTGCCCAGGATGCACTCACCTTGATACTAACACCAGATCCACAACAACAGGTGAAACAAGAAGCTAAATCATGGTTTCAGAGAAGAATAGCCCCTGCTTTCGTCATCCCAGTTGAGTCAAGCCTTGACTCATCTACAGCATGTTCCGAGGTGCACGGAGACGGTGAGCTTGTAGCCGGTTCGGAAGGACCGCAGCCCCTGTAAAGCTGACAGGTTTCTGGCGCATCGTAAATGCCGCGGAAGCCATGACAAGGCCGTCACGGGTGTTTCCGGTCTGCATGGATCCACATTGGACCAAGGCTATCGCGAGGAGTCTTGCCAGTATCCAAAGCGCTGCTTGCCCACTGCTTAAAGCTGTGTGAAAAGAATCACTGATCGATTGGCGAAGTCCTCTAGAACCATCTTCTGGCTTGCGTCGCCGGAACTGATACGCTGGCATATCTATTAGCCGTTTGAGGACAACCAGGCAACCATAACTTTACAGCTGAGAAAGCAGACCCAGCTACGCAGCATTGCTTTGAGACATGGGGTCTCGGCAGGTGGTTCCAGACGTTTGGACGCTAAACTATCGAAGCACGAGGCAACCCTGCAGTTCTCCAACTCGGGTCTTCATGCGTGGCATAGCCTTGACTTTCACCCCTAGTGCAGCCCTTGCACTTTTTAGACCTCTAAGTCTGATCGAATGCAAAAGCTTCTGAGCGCATTTTGGGGATCTTGCTCCAGATCTGCCTCCGCAAACCTGGTTGTTTTGGATTCGAACCACTTCGCGTGCGATGTAGGTGCCGACTGCACGATTCACAAGGATCGCTCATCAGAAAGTCTGTGCCCAGCCGTGTCGTGGAGCCGTACCATAGTGCAGAAACTGCTAGAGGGCGAACCTGCTCCTCGCCACAAGAGCGAGTCCCGGCTCTCGCGCCCCGCGAGGCGTTGGTGACATGTTGGGGCCAGCATCACCCTCAAGCAGCCCTGCGCATGTAGCTGGTCGTACTTCAGAACTGCGGTTGCAGTGTCCCAACCTGCACCTTGTCCTGTAGACAAGACCGGCCCGGCGCCCCGTCTGGGGCCACAGCTGTGTTGCAAGTCCGTGCAACCTTATCGGAGACTTCTCATCCTCACCAACGTTTGACGTTTTCCTCGGAGCAAGCAGCATGTCAGCTGCGCTGCAATCCCTTTCAACAGTATCCAAAGCAATACGTGACTGGGCTGTAGCTCGAACTGGGGGGGGGGAGGGGGGGAGGGGGCGTGTCGTGGCCAGTCACGTACTTGTCTGCGAAGCGGCTTTTGAGCATGAGTGTCACGGAGAAGAAGCTGCCACTTCGCATAAACTGCACAGAAAAGGACTGCAGTGATCTCTGAGTGCATCATCCCGGGGAAGCTGCTCGAAGCACAAAAACAGGCCTCAGCACTGATACTTCTTGCTTAGCAACCAGGCTCTGTAGTCGACCAATGTTGCGCTGCTCCAAGGATGTCTGTGTGCTGCAGAACCTTTTGTAAATGGAAAAGTGTAGGCAGGAGAAATGTACTGAGGCGCGTTCGGCTCGCCATCCGCTTGTTCTTCCCCTCCAGAAACATAGATGATTAAGTCACTAAAGAGGGTACTCCTTCCACCTCGCGGAGCAGTGGAAACCCTACCGCTTACCTCTGCAAACTCGTTGTTGTCGGTGTGCGTGAGGCCCGGGAATTGGGACCCGGCGGTTCACAGCAGAGTCGACTCGTAGCTCCAATGGCAAAATGGCTCAGGCAAAGGCAGAATCCTTAAGCTTCTGCGAAGGCAGGGCCTGTTGCTGAGCTCTAGTGCGTTCGGCCTGGAGGCTGGTTGACTTCCCAACTGCTGTGAACCGTGCGGCTACTACTACTACTACCACTACTACTACTACTACTTCTTCTTACTACTACTACCACCACGACAACTACTACTACTGCTACTACTACTACTACTGCTACTACTACTACTACTACTACTGCCACGACGACTGCTACGACTACTACTACTACTACTACTACTGCTACTGCTACTACGACTCCTACTACTCCTACTACTCCTACTAAGATATTCACAAAAACCGGGTTTGAGTTTCCCAACCCGAGTTGGACTACCAACCTGAATTGGAGTCGGCGTTAACCTGAACTCCAACCAGGGGAGTTCCTCGACCCCCGCCCCTCCGCTTCGGGGGTTGGAGTCAGGTTAACCCAATCCGGACCTGAGTAGGGTTTGGGTTACGAGTTGAAGTTGACCTGGCTCCCGCGTTGGAGTTTGGGTTCACTTGAACTCCAACCCAGGTCCTCCAGGTTGGAGTTGGGTTGAACGAGAAAAAAAGTGTAAAAGTTCAGGTTAACTCTTATCTTTCGGTTGGGGGCAGCTGAGTTGAGAGTTGGAGTTTATCCAGTTGTAACTTGCCCTTTTATTTGCAACTTTCATTGACACCTTCCAAGTACCTTCGAGCGGTTATTGTGGTCTGGTTCACGTTTGAGGCCTTGAGGAAGACATGAAGTCACTGCCTGAAGAATGCTGAAGCTGCCGCGGCACACTTTCAGGAACAAGTGAGTCGTCTCGAAGCTCAGACGCGGGCAGACGGACTTATGGTTCTGCGCTCAAAAAAACAGGACTGTTGCGTTTTGCGTAAAAGTAAGAAACAAAGCTGCGAATGAATGAATGAACTGACCTGTGATTTTTGTTGTTTACGATGTTGGCTCCTTGAACATACTCTTGTTCTGGCTTGCGCCAGCACGCATTCGACATTGCTTCGTTCTGCGTAGCTCATGCACTTCAACCGCAGGTTGTTTCACTTGTTGACTAACCACTCTTCAGACTGTTCGTCTTGTCATCGACTCAGGCAAATCATGAATTCGTTTGAATTCGTTGTAATGATTCTAATCAGCTTCTGATCGTGTGATTCAACCAATTCGATGTTCAGAAAGCGTTCAAGTGAAGTGAATCAAGCGCACAGGAAGGTTGGGAAGGCAGGAAGCAGCGAGAAGAAGGAATGATCGATTGCGTGACTTACTGATCATGGTTGATTGAAAATGCGTTTGAAGGCGGCTTGAAGCGTGGAAACATTGACGTTTCACTTCATTTCATTTTCATTTTCATTTCATTTTCATTCTCATTTTCATTTTCATCTTCATTTCATCTTCATCTTCATCTTCATCTTCATCTTCATCTTCATCTTCATCTTCATCTTCATCTTCATCTTCATCTTCATCTTCATCTTCATCTTCATCTTCATCTTCATCTTCATCTTCATCTTCATCTTCATCTTCATCTTATCTTCATCTTCATCTTATCTTCATCTTCATCTTCATCTTCATTCTCATTTCCATCTCCATCTTCATCTCATCTTCATCTTGATTTTCATTTTTCATCGTCGTTGTCATTGTCATTCCCATTCCCATTCTCATTTTCATTCTCATTTTCATTTTCATTTTCATTTTCATTTTCATTTCATTTCACAGTTGTGTATGAACCATGTGAAGAACGAATGGAATTTGATTATGATGATTGGATGAAGCGATGAATCGGTTTCGGACAAACGGGTCGATAAATATTGGAGGATGAATCATGGACATTGCCTGCGTGATTTCAGAGCAGCACCGATGGGTGTTAAACACCATGCCGTGCCTCATTTTGGAGTCTGACCAGATGGTCGATGACGCCCGCCTTTGCTCGCTGATGCCTTTCGGAAAGGAACGCGCCTTCTTTCTCACCTTCGAAGCCCAAAGCCAAAAACCCTCTCTTCCATCCTATGAACAAAGGGAGCCTAAGATGTTATTCATCAGATCTGCGTTGTTGCAGTAACTCTCTCACCATTGGCTCAAGGTGCAAAACATTGGAGTCTCGAGTGATTGATGCACAGTCTGCTTTGGTGCCTGTGATTGTGGTGCTCCGTGACATTGCAGACCTGAGATCACACTGAACATTGATCTTGTAAAATTTCATGGTAGCGGCGAAGTCCAGGGCATCCGACTAGACATTGTACTAGATCGGTGTACCTTTGGCGATGTCCAAGGATTGGGTGGAGAAATCAAGTTTTCCCGCCGCCCGTTTCTCACGGAGATTCAAACAAGTGGGAAGATTGGTCTTGGCAGCTTGCGTCCTATGTGTCATTGTAAAAACCCCGGGCCCAAGGACTGATGGAGAGATTGGAAGGAACAACAGAACCATGCACTGACCAACACTTGATCGATTGAGAGGAGTGAGTCTCCTCTCCCGATTGCTGGATTTCCAACTCATTTGAAGCTGATTTGACGAGAGCTCATATCATTGAAGAACAAGAATGAGAATGCAACTGGCAAAGCGTTGGATGATGATCTGTTGGTGACATTGATGGTGAACAAAACGTCAGGTTCGTTGCAGCAACACTTGAGATTGAATGTGAATGCACTGACAACATTTGCGGACGTATTGCAAATCATGAAACTGTGTTACCAGAGTAGGCATCTAGCAAATTGGAAGTCACAGTCCTCTTCGAAATAACCGGTTCCCATGGAGAATTGAGAGGAAAAGGAAAAGGTAGGTATTGGAACAAAGGAAAAGGTTTCGCTTTCGGAAAAGGCAAAGGAAAGTCCAAAGGAAAAGGAAAGAATTGGAAGGGCAAAGGAAAGGGAAAGAAAGGGTTAGGTCCAGGCAAGAGCAAAGGAAAAGGAAAAGGAGGAAAGATTGGAAAAGGAAACCAAGGTACAGGATGTTTCATTTGTGGGTGCAGTCCCATTGGAGCAGGGAACGCCCTCAAGCGCAACAAGGCACCGTGATTGAAGGTTTTGAAGGAGAACAAACAGGAGACCGGAGTGATGGTTCGAATGATGCTAGCTGGTGGTATGATGATTGGCAAGGTGCGCTGTATGGTGATGCAGACTACATGTATTGGGATGATTCCTAGCGCACGAATGATTGGCAAGAGTACTCAGAGGATTGGTCTGATGACGGGTCCAGTTGGCAAACGGCCGACCCTGCGTGCAACACACACGTGCATCAGCTTCAAAGTTCTGTGCAGATTAGCAAGGTAACCTCATTGGATCAAAGTTCCGTGCCTGCAGCCACTCCTGCAGCAGTCACCATTGATCAACAAGAGTGACTGAGGATGACGCTGAAGCCTCACGTGAACATGAGTCTTCAAGGAATCTACTCATTGATGGATGCAGTGCCTCTACCCGCGCACACACGTCACGCGCCCAGGTTTGATGAGAAACTTTTTCGCAGGAGCGCTTATGATCATTGGCACGTTGTTCTCCTCTGTTCCTGCCCTACATATCCCCAAAAAATATTTGGCTGTGAGCAAAGCAGTACCACTGGTGCTACTGATACTGATTCCATTGGCACTGATGCCGAAAGATTGCCTGATCCCATTGACATCAGCATAGATGCATTGTCAAATTCTTGCCTGCAGTCTGGCATTGTCGATCGGAGTGACAGTGGTGCTTCAGCACATTGCTGTCCACCTTGGTTCGCTTCGGACTACCCATTGCACCCCGTTGGCCGTGATTTGTCCTGCCCTCAGAAGCATCTCGGGTAAGACGTTGAACATTCTCGGCAGACGAGTGGTTGAGCTGGATTGCAATGGTCATTCATTGTATGTTCAGTTCTATGTGTGTGAGCACATATGGATTTCTGTTGCAAGATTTCTGGACTATGATGGCGAAAGATTTGATGACATTGATGACCCCTACTACGCGAATGGTGCCCATTGTACAGCAAGGTACATTGGTGTGTCTCACTCCGACTGTTGTTCCATATGTTCTTTCATCAGGCCCCAAGACTGAATCGGAAATCGACAAGCTCCCAGATGATCTCGATGTTCAGACATTGGATGTGGAGCTTTGAGAGGCATTTCTGACATTGTTGATCTTGAGTACGCAGCAAAGAAGTCCAAGGCCCCTACTTTGAAGTCGAAGTCTCGTCCTCAAACGTTGCCGAAACGATTGCAAGCACGCCCGTCGAGTCCTCCTACACCACTCGACGAAGCGCACGCGGTGCGTGTTCAGTGCCAAGGGTCCTGGGCCCGTCGCCAGTTTCTCACGGCGATCAAGGAGGAGGCTCCTGAAGCCAGCATTGCCTCACTGGCTAGGGCCAACAGGAACCGCCCGAGCCTTCCTCACCACATGCTGGCCGACACCATCTTGTTGCTCAAAGACCTGGTGTCCGGGGAGCTCCTTCCGCAGGCTCGCAGCCTTCAGATCCTCGGCACCGGGGCTAGGAGAAGGGTGTACCAGCTTGAACCTGGGCTCGTCCTCAAGCTCACGAGCGAGGAGATGGGGCATGGTTTGGAGCCGGCGTGGTGTGACAAATTCCTGCCCCTGACGTGCAAAGTTCACGCACACGGCCAGTGCTCTGTTAGGCTCTCGGAGTCGGCTTCGGCTCACCAAGAAACCACCATGTCGTGGTTGATTCAGGAGCGCTTTGTGGCCCACATGAAAGACTACGTGCCGCAGGTTGGTCCCGGGAGCCCTGCCGTCGTTCAGCTGCTTGCGTGTTTCGTCTGCGTCATCTGCTTTTTGGAGGCGTCAGGAGCGGCCCTCGCAGACATTGGTTGGGAGAACCAGTCCGTAAAGCTGGACGGCCCGACCAATATGATGGCCCCGACATTCCATGATTGCGAGCGTTGGAGTGTATGGCGTACAGGCACCCGGATGTCCAACCTTCCGGGCTTTTGGGCTACACTCGAGGCCTTTGGGTTGCAGGAAGCTTCGGGTTTTTTGGTTCCCGTGTGTTTTCCCACGAGTGAATCATGCACCGTAATTTGCCATACGCCTAAACAAGCCTTGCACAGCTGGAGCATCTCCGGCTCTCAGCTGGCCTTGACCTAACCCCTAGGTGGGGCCTTCTGCTTTTCGGTCAAGGCCTTCTACGCTCTTACTCTTTTCTAGAGCCTCCAGGCCTCGTAAGTCTGGTGTTTTTGTAGCTTGCACGTCCAGCCATGGCCTACCGTGCGAGCATGCCCATCCGCACAGAAGTTCGCAGTTCTTCAGATAGCGGACGCCACGACTACGTCCTCGAGTGGGACGACTTGGTCTACTTGCACTTGAACAGACTGGCCCTGTTTGCACAACCTGCCCAAGATGACTACGCCGCGCCTTGCCCTGGCTACGAGCCAGGCCCAGAGGATACCACCCCGCCGGTTCGCTTCAGGACTCGCACAGCGCCCACTTCTGCACAGATCAGCACGCCTGAGCCAGCGATGCACACTCCTCTTGGAGCCTCCGATTTGCCTACTACAACGGATGCACATATGGGCCCCACTGAGCCCCATCCTGGAGCTACGAGATCTACTCCTCTTGGAGCTTTCAACTCAGCTTCTGCAAGTGACACGCCTATGGGTCCCGCTGGGCCCCCCTTTGAAGCTAAGCGTGACACTCCTCTTGGAGCTTCTGACATGCCTTCTACAGCCAATGACTTCATGCCTTCAAAGCCCAACGAGCCTCACGACCTGGTGCACATAAGGTCCCTGCTCGTTTATATGCACAACCACCTGGCCTGCCAAGACGCAATGGGCCGCACTCTGATGCAGGCAGAGGAATCCAGACGCCTGGAGCTGCAAGCAGTCTCTGTCCAACTGCAGCAAATACTCACCAGCCTGACCTTCGCCCAGCAGGCCTACGCCGACCTCAGGCATGAGCTCGACAGCATCGCAGCCGACTTTCTGGCCTATCGCATTCGCACAGAAGCGGAGCTGTCAAGCCTTAGGGAAGCCTTGGGGCCCATGCCCTCCCAAATCAATACCCTCAAGCGTATTGCAATACTGCCTTATATAATGCACATCTTCAGGCCCTGCGTACCTTTCAGGTCCCGGCGAACAGGTGGGAAGAGGCAAATCCCCATGCCTTGTTGCGTAGAGAGCTTCTACACCTAGAGGATCGCCTTCTTCGCCTAGAAGCTGCACAGCCCCCCGTGTGGTTCTGATACCTCACGCAGTTATCGGCTCTTAGCTTTTTCTCGGGACCCCCTTGACTAGCCTTGTCGAGTCACGCCGTGCCCATGCCCCCTCAGCCTAAAAGCCCAGCCTTCCAACCCTGCCCCTGGAATGTCCAGGATTGGAGCGGCACCGAGGACAGCAGTGACACATGCCCAGACGCCTCAGCGTCCTCAGCACAAGAGCCCTTCACACACAGCTTCGCTCTTGCACAGGTCAGGCTGCCTCACCAGGTCAGACCGCCTACAACAGCACCAACGCTGCCACAGCCTCATAATGACCCTAACCCGCCTAACACGCCCACACCCCGGCCTAAGCCTAAGCCTCCGCCGCCACAGCACCTGCTGTCTAATGCTGGCTCCATACTGCCCCCTCTGCCTGCTGGCCCCAGATCGGCAGAGCGCCAATTCTTCGCCGTGCCCATGCAGAGCTTCTGCTCCCGCTATCAAAACCGCACATGCCGCCGTCAGTGTGCCTTGCATATGTCGGCACTGCAACGCGCCCATGCCCACGTGTCCGCTCTACATGGTCTACCCGCACAGGCGCTCATGCCCACAGTGGTACAGACCAGACACCTCTTTGGCCTCAGCAACATACTGGCCTGCCTCTGGGCCCACATTAGCCCACAAGACCGCCGCTCATTCCACGTCATTGACTGGTGGTCTGCCGCCGATGCCCGCTGGTACCTGGCAGGCCTGCCAATGCCTGACTCGGACGATTACTCCGACCATGGCATCTCATCGGGCACAAGCACCGCTGCCTCAGTGGGTGCCTGGCCCATGCCGGTGCCTCGCGTGAGCACCTCCTCTGCCCATCCTTTGCACGTGCCTACCGGGACCCACGCCGCCATGTCGCACCCGACTTACGCCAATGCCCTGTGAGCCGCACGCTGCCTTGCCTAGTGCCCCCCCCATGCACTGATTGTTCATGGACCCGCCCATCCTGCCCTTTGCTGCAGGTACCTACGCCTTCGAGATCGGCATCGACTTCATGTACATCGAGGTTGCCAGTTGCCACCTTATTCTGCCTACTAGCTGCACACCGCCCTGAGAGTTGCTGACCGGTTGGTGTTCATACTTCCTCACTGTCAGGCCAATACGCACTTTCTGCCTGCCTCTCTCGCACGACTTCAAGGCCGGATGTGCTCTTGCAGTCGTTCGTGAGTGTTGTTGCCGCACATGCCTTGTTCTCTGCATACGGACATGCCTGCCCATGCGGTCTCTGGAGCCATACCTTGTTGCTTTCAGCGCCGCTTTCACAGCTTCAAGCCTCCCCAGATTCAGTGTTCGCCCATTCTCTCGCCCAGAATGGACACTGCCGACATTCAGGGAAAGCTGCTGGCCTACTTCAACCAGCTCAGCCCCGAAGCCCGCGACCGCCTCCTAGCCAGTGCCCCTGCCCAGGAGACACAGCCTCAACCCGCCTCGGGTTCAGGCAATGTCTAGCCGGGACAGACACTGCCCACCAAGGCCCCGCCACCGGTGGTCACTGGCCAAGCCCAAGCCCAATCGCCTGAATCGGGCTCGACGCCCAATCCAGCCCCGGATGCCTCAGCCTCGTCCTTGCTCGCAGACGAGCTAGCCGATATGAAGAAGTCAGCCTCCACCCCGCGGGCAAAAGGCGAAAGCCCTCACACGCAAAGATTGGGACTTCATCGACCCAGCCCAAGGCCTATCCTGGTCGCCCGACCAGATCCGCCGAGCCCATGGGGATGGCCACGTCATTCCCAGCCTAGTTTTCAAAAAAGGATGGAGTCAAAGTGCCTGAGGCGCTTGTGAAGCACGCTCCCCTCGACAGAGGCCGAGACAAGCCCATCTGCCCAGCCCGGCCCACTGCCCTCGGTCTCCGAGACCCGCCCAGCCTGGGCCGACATCCAAGAGGAGGAGGCCCTCAACACGCCCTTGCCCATAGGCTCCAGCGACGAGGACAGCCCTGTGATCGAGGAGGTCATAGGTTTCGGGGGCGTGCCTATTGCCATGCCCAAGATTGTCAGCCCATGGCCACCCAAGCAGCCCAAAGCACCTGCACCCGCAGAATCACAGGTGCCGCCAGCCCCTCCTGCCACTTGCCCTCCGAGCCCACCAGCAAGGCTCCGCCTGAGCCAGAAGCCCGCCCATCGGCCTCGCCAACCAAGCCCAACCCTCGCATGACCATGGTCTACGAGGGCAGGACCTGGCACAACTTTTGGGGGCAGGACCCGCCAGCCAATGCCATCTCGGTGGACTGGGACTCCTTCTGGTTCACTCTCGAGGAAGAGCCCATGGCAGCCCAGCCCAAAGGTCCTCCCTCCTGCCCACCGCCCGCGCAACCGCCTCAGCAGGCCCAAGAATCCCATCAGCCGCCGGGAACCAAGGCCCCGCCGCCGCCTATGCCGCAGGAGCCAGAACCGGCCCACAAAAAGATCAAATGCTCCGTCTTCGGAGCGGATGGCTGGATCCTCAGGAAGGACCAGAGGGGTCGGGTGCACATCACAGAAGCCGACTACGCCAGCCTAGTCGCCCATGCCGACCAGGGAGACCCCCGAGCCCAGGAAGTGCGCTCCTTGGGGTTCAACATTTGGGCCCCGCAATTTGTCGCGGGCCCAGTGGTGCCTTTCTCCATTATCAGCCCACCGCCGACACAGCCGCAGTCGGCCCCAGCCCAGGAAGCCAACACCTCGCCTCCCACTGCCCAAGAGCAGACGGACTCGCAGAACGCCCAGACCCAGGATGACTTCACGGACCTACTCGGCCTAGGGCAAGACTCCTCGGATCGAGGCCTCCGCAACCCCTTCCCGAATCCACTGCGCACAGGAGACGACTTCCGGCCCAAGGCAACCAGTGCCAGGTCCATGCCCTGCCCACACCTGCTGATTGCGCCCAACGCCGATAGACGCTACCGAGGCACCCTCATCATGCCCAGTGTGTGCCTACCAGATACTTTCAATCTGGCGCCCCACCTTCTCAAGGTCTTCTACGTGGACCATCGAGAACGCCTACGATGCATGCGCCCATGCTCAACACGCCCACACTGCCCCTTCGGCCTCGTGTGTGCACAGATTATGTCGGACACCGACAGTGAGCATTTGGATCACCTGTGCAGCCGCTGCGTGGAGTTTCGCAGAGCCCACGAAGACCCATGGGGCTGGTTCCATGCCTACGCGCCTTAAAGCCCTGGCAACACGCCAGCATTTTCCCTAATGGCATCGCCTATGCCTTGCCGCCCAGCGTGCCCAAGCCTAGCAGCCCTTGCCCATTCCCGACCCAAGAATTGGGCCTTGTTTTGCATCCGCCGCCGGCCCGAATAGGGGAGAAAAGAAGAGTATGCCAACTGCAGAACCATGTTTACACATGCGACCAGTTGGCCTTGTTTAGCTCCCATGCTTACCTGATGCAGGTGCCCACCATCGAGCCCTTCGAGATGCAGCCGAAGCCCTGTCTCTTCACACACCGAGAAAAGCCTCCTGCCCGCTTCTCTGCAGGTGCCTAGTTCAGCTTCTTGCGCAGGATTGCCGCTTTCAGTAACGCCTCCACATGCAAGGAGTGCCCATCATCAGCATTCTGTGAGCCACCCTCTCTGCAGCCATTTTACTCAAACCACCAGGAACATGTTTCCAGGCCACAAGCCACGTGTCGACTGGAGCCCCACTCCTAGTCGAAAGAAGCCCAGGCTACCTAATAGTGGGGATTTAAGCCCTAACCCGCCCTCCCCAGCCTCCCTGCCGGGACTCTCTATCGATCTCCTTTCCGAGATCGAGCCCGACCTCGACCCGAGCGAGGACTGGGACCCACAACAAGCTCCCTCAAGCACTGGACCCGACCCCATCGAGGACTGGTCCCCAGACAATGAGGCCTCATCGCACGCTTGCCCCCCGCAGCAAGTCAGCACGCCTGGGCCGGCCTCCGACTCCTCTCCCTC